GTAAATTTTGGTCAATGACATGAGACAAAGTATATGTGAACTGCTGTATGAAAAGTGAATTTACTCTGTAAATCTTCACCCAAATCCTAATTTAAAAAAAAGAAGAAGAAGAAGAAAAAGAAAAGTGAGACACAGAGGGGTTAAGTAACTTGCTCAAAGTCACTCAGCTAGTAATGATGGAGCCTGGATTTGAACCCAGTCTGGCTCCAGAGTCCATGCCCTTAACAACTACCCAAGTAAAGAGGTGGTTTGAGAAAGGGTACCAATGCTTAAAAACACTGTTGCCCTAAGGGAGCCCTCCTGGGTTTGCTCCTAGGTGGGGCAAACAGTTTGCACTCGACTGTTAACCTAGACATTGGCGGTTTGAACCCATCCAGCAGTACTGCAGAAGAAAGCCTTGGTGAGCTGCTTCAGTTAAGATTACAGCCAAAAAAACCCTATGGAATAGTTCTACTCTGCACACATGGGGTCACCGTGAGTTGGAAATGAGTTGATGGCAGCTAACAATAATAACAAGGGAGCCCCCCTAGGACCAGAAGGCTAAAGGGAAGGTGTGACGGGTGTGTCGGTGATACATTCTTTGAGCTCCTTTGCTTCTAGGAAGCACCTGGCAGGAGAAAGTCGCTGGCACCCGAAGCCAGATGCAGAAGCATCGCAAGGCCCCAACAGCTGTCCTTCTGTCGGCACTTGATGAGACAGCCTGTGAGTATGGATTTGGGGACACAGGTGGCCACCTGGGTCCCCCAGCCCTCAAACCTTCTGCCCCCCCCAAAAAACAAAGCAGCCATATACTCAAAACTCACTGTCGTCAAGTTGGATCCAACTCATAGCAACCCTTCCTTGGGTTGCCGAGGCAGTATCACTACGGAAGTAGATTGTCCCACCTTCCTTCTGAGGAGTGGCTGGTGGTTCAAACCACCAGTACTGCAGAAGAAAGCCTTGGTGAGCTGCTTTCTGGTTAGCAGTCAAATGCCTTAGGCACTATGCTACCAGACCTCCTAAAAAACAGCCATAGACCTGTGTATTCTTGAGAACTCTGTGGCCATGGTCTGTGGCAACTAAGAAGGTTAAGGGGGCAGGAGCTAAGGGGAGCCAGATGTGCAGAGTAAGAAAACCAAGGTGCCCAGGCCACCGGAGAATGAACTGACCATGATGACAAAATGCTTCCGTCTCATTAAGGGCAAGGGGACCCACAAACACCTCCCAACAGCTTGGCCACTATCTCAAGCACTCACATGCCCTACTCTGTCCCAGTGTGGCTCAGCTTTTCTTACCTGGGCCCCATGGCTGGGATTTTGGGAACCACTGAGATTGTATGCTGCCTGCTGCCTGGATATTTGCATTTTTCTGGGAGAAAGTGTCCATACCTCTCATCAGCTTCTCAAACACCCCAAAGAGACTGAAAACCACTTGTGAGCAGAGGTTGCAGGTGTGCTGCTGGGGAGTCTTTCTTTTGGGATCAAAGCAAAATTGTCAGAAATCCTGGCTTAGGCAGATCAAGCTCCACTGGCCTGTCAATCCCCCTCCCCAGGGCTCTTCAACCTGCGCAGCAATGACATCCCCTACAACCCCTTCTTCTATTCCTACGTGCTGCTCACTGACTCCACCATCAGGTAGGCTCTGCCTTGGCTTGCTCCCACGGACTCCAACTTCCACCTCCTCACTGCCCAGCCATTTACCCCACCCCATCTGTAGCCTTGGAGCTGCCCCTGAGCTTGGTACCTGCCCAGTGAGACCCTCTAGGAAGCCTCCAATGGGCTCTTCCTGACCCCTTGACCTCTGTTCCAGTTGTATCTAGTCTGGTCTGTGTGGCTCTCTGGTGCTGACTTTCTCTGGCATCCAGGAACAAGGGGCCTGTGTACCTCCTGGTCTGCCTCTGGCCCTTTGTGTTATCCTTACAGATCCTCAGGTTGATTCCAGTCTTCCCTCCCCACCTAGGTTATTTGCAAACAAGAGTCGCTTCAGTTCTGACACGCTGAAGTACCTGAACTCCAGTTGCACAGGAGCCATGTGTGTGCAAATTGAGGACTATGAGCAAGTCCGGGACAGCGTCCAAGCCTATGCCTCAGGAGCAGTGAGGATCTGGATTGGGACCAGCTATACTACTTATGGGCTCTATGAAGTGATACCCAAGGTGAGCTGCCTGACCTCAGTCCAAGCCCAGCCCTACTAAGTCTCAACCTAAAGTGAGGCCAAAGCCCCTTGGCCATTGAGTCAGTTGGTCCATCAACAGTTGTGTAGTGAGTTCCCTTCACCGAGGAGAGACAGAAGAGGAAGCGGGAATGTCTGTTCACAGAGAGCTCACAGACTGCCAAGGAGGCTAGTGCAGCATGGCCCAGGGGAGGTTCTGGAGTCAGCCTGACACAGAATCCCAGCTTTGCCCTCAACTAGCAGTGTGATAACTTTGGACAAATGACTTGGCCTCTCCAAGACTGCTTCTTCACCTATAAAATGTCAGTAAGAGTCCCAACCTCATAGGAGTGGCTCTGGGGAAACTGATAGGAGATGGTGGAGCTGATGCCCAGCACCTGGTACACAGAAAGCATTCGATAGATGTTGGCTGTTCTGATATGGACAGGAAATTTACACTGTCAGAACAGCACATAGATGGTGGCCCACTGCCGAAGGCTAGGCTCCATCCCCACAGTGCTGGTGGCATCCAGGGTAGGGAGTGAGCTTCCAAGCAGGGCAGCATGAATCAAGGAAGCCTTCTTAGAGGATGGGATGGCAGTCTAAGCTGGGCCTGGAAGACTAGAAAGACCCACAGAGCCAGAAAGCGTAGAAAGGAGAGGGCATTGCCACAGTAGGGAAAGGCCAGGCTCCCCTCGGCTGAGACTTCCTGTTCGTCCTTTTAAAATGATCATTGTGCCTAGGAGGGTGCGCCCATGCCTCTTCTTCATCCCTGTACCCTCCTCTCTGCCCCCTGACAGGAGAAACTTGTGACAGACACCTACTCCCCAGTGATGGTGACCAAGGCGGTAAAAAACAGCAAGGAGCAGGTCCTCCTCAAGGCCAGCCATGTAAGTCCACATGCAGACACACCCTTGCGGAACTCCCCCTCTGATGGATGAGAAAGGAAATCCTTCCAAAGGAGCCTGAACAAGACCTGCAGTGAAACAAAGATGTGGACACCAAACTCCTGAGCACCCACCTGCACTTCACCCCCAGCTCACAGTGCAGTGCTGTGGTTTAACACGTGGGCCTGGAGGCTAGCGCCTCTGAGTTAAAACCCCAGCTCTACCCACTACCTAGCTGAGTGACCTTGGGCAAGTCAGTTCACTTCTCTGTGCCTCAGTTAACCCGTCTGTAAAATGGGTATCATAACATTAACCTCGAGCCCATAGTTGTGACGAGTAAATGAACTGTATACATGAAGGGCTCTGAGCACCGCCTGGCACGTTGTAAGTGTTGAATTAGATAGATGATTTACTCACTGTGGTGATTTCCACACCCCGCCAAGAGGATGGCTCATGCCTTTTGATATTCCTGTGAAAACTGGTATTGTTGTTATTTGCCATCAATTCCAATTCATGGTGACACTGTGCATTTCAGAGTGGAACTGCTGAACAGGGTTTTCAAGACTGTAGTCTTTACAGAAGCCAATCGCCAGGCCTGTCTTTCTCCAGAGGAAAGACCTTTCAGCGAATAGTCAGGTGCTTAACCATTTGCACTACCAAGGACTCTGGAAAAAAGTATAAGAAAGTAGAGGAAATAGCATAATGAATTTCCATCACCCAGATTCAACAACCATCAGCTCATGGCCAACCTTGTTTCATCTTTAATCCCACATTCATCACCTCCTCCAACCCTACCATCAGCTACTAGATTATTTAAAAGCAAATTGCAGATATCATATCATTTCTTCCTCAACACTTCAGTAAGTATCTCTAAAAGACAAGGACTCTTTTAAAGACATAACTACAGCATTATGATCTTAATATAAACGTTAACAAGAATCCTTTAGTGTCATCAAATGGATAGTCAGCCCTCATGGTTTTAAAGCCCTGCATCCCAGATCTTCAGCATCCCTGATCTCCTTCATGCCTGGGCTCATGGCTGAGCCCACACCTCAGCCGGCTTCTCTGCTTCTCTTGCTCCAGGTGCGGGATGCTGTGGCTGTGATCCGGTACTTGGTCTGGCTGGAGAAGAATGTGCCCAAAGGCACAGTGGATGAGTTCTCAGGGGCAGAGCTTGTGGACAAGTTCCGAGGGTGAAGGACCGCCACACTGAAAGGGAGTGGGGGCACGGAGAGGCGTCCTAGTGTGGTGAAAGGGTTAATGTGCTCAGCTGCTGACATAGGGTGGGAGGTTCAGCCACCCAGAGGCACCTCAGAAGAAAGGTCTGACTGTCTTCTTCCGAAAAATCAGCCATTGAAAGCCCTAGGGAGCACAGTTCTACTCTGACGCTCATGGGGTTGCCAGGAGTAAGAAGGAATTCAGCAGCAACTGAGTTTTTTTGTTTTGTTTTTGTTTTGTGGACCAGGGGAGGGAGAGAGAGAGGAGGAATTGGTTTTCCCATTTAAGAAGAAAGAAGATCCTCTTTGTGTTTGGGGGTCTCTGTGGAATAAGGAGTGACAAGTTCTTGGGTGGTGGGGAAGCTGAGCAGGGGATTTTGGATGACATCCTTAAAGTGGGACAACTTGGAGGGCCACAACCCAACAGCGCCCTCTAGTGTCAGCTTCAGGCATGGGCTCACTCTCCCTGGGGAAGACTGGCTTACGGTTGCCAGTGCCAAATCTGCCCCTGAAAGACTATCAAGTTGGGGAGAGGGCACACTCGGCCCAGGCCGTGGGCAGACTGCTGGTTTCAAGTGGAGGATGCAGCTCCAGGGCTTGGAGTGTTTTCAGATACAGAGAGCTTGGGTGCTTCACTCATGCTTAACCACTACTCACTGTGAGATGTGTGGGCTTTGGTTTTCCCATCTGTGAAATGGAGGTGAAGGGGGAACAATTGGGGTCTACTGTCCCTTCCTTCTCTGGCCTTGAGTGCTCTATAAGGGACAGGACGGGGCTTGGGGAGTTGGAACTAGGAGGTGGGGCTGGGGGAGCTAAATGGAGGCAGTCCCAAGTCGAGACAGCTGTGAGCTTCATGCACTCTGGTTAGATATCCTGGGCCCAGCCTCTTTCCTGGGCCTACTCATTGACTTCCTTATTCCTGCTTTGTGCCTTCCAGAGAAGAAGAATTCTCCTCTGGACCCAGTTTTGAAACCATCTCTGCCAGTGGCCTGAATGCTGCCCTGGCCCACTACAGGTACCTCAGGAGAGAGAATGTTCTACAGCCCTGTAGAGAGGCTCCTGGTGGGGAACGGAATCCTCTAGGACCATTTCTGATTTAAGGCCACCAGCACTATGGGGACTCAGGCTGGGGTTGGAAGTGTCTTTAAAGTGGAAAGATCTGAGAGCTCTTTTTCCCCAAGAGGCTGGAACTCTGTGAGCCTATGCGCACTCAGGCCTGAGGGATCTGGAAGGGGCGCGGGGCTGTACTTGCATGCTTCTCCTCAGTACCTGTAGAGAAAGGCCTGTTCACTCAGCCTGAACCAACCATAATGGGCCCAAGATATAGGCTAGCCAGATGTTTGGCCTCATAGAAAACAAACACCTGCAGGCCTGATGGAATTTGGGGAGCCAAGCTGACCAGGGGCCTCAGCCTGGCATGGGCACAGCAGGGAGAGGTCAGATGGCCCTCCAAGGGATGGCCGGGCATGTCCCAGAATTCTCCCCCAAGCCTCCCACTGCTCTGTTCCAGCCCCTTCTCAGTAGAGAGTGGCAAAGTAGGTACCAGCTCTTCCTCCTCAGCCCACCCTCAAGGGACCCTTCCTTTCTGTAACCTGGCTTCACAGGGCCTTTCTGCTCTCAGAGGGAACCAGCAGGAAGTTCTAGAAAGAGCACTGGCCTGAGCCTCTGGGACCTGTGTCCAGGCCTTACCGCGTCACTGTTCTACTGTAGGGTCTTGTGCACATCCCTAGGCCTGTCCCTCCTTATGTAAGAAGAGGTGACTGGGCTGGCTTTAAGGGATCTCCTAGCTCTGGTAGTCTGGTCTCTTTCCTCTCTCCCCTCTCTGGGAACCAGGGCCTTGTTCGGTGAAGTGCTGAGAGCAGGACAAATGATCTTGAGCTGAGGACATTTGCAGCGGAAGTGGAGCACTCTCCCAGAGCCTTCTGGGAGATACTGACCACCCCAAAGGAATTAGCTTGGGTGTAGGACTCATTTGTTCCCACTTAGGACCCCCTCCCCACACAGGGCAGCATCAGGCTTCTCCTTTCTCAACCTTCTCTCCCCTCATCAGCCCAACCAAGGAGTTGCACCGCAAGCTGTCCTCGGATGAGATGTACCTGCTGGACTCCGGGGGACAATACTGGTATGTGCACCAGCCCAGCTGTCTCAGCTCAGACATCTTGGGTCCCAAGCCCACCTAACTGGACCAAGAAGCACCAAGAACCTCCTCAGGTTTTCCCTTCCTGAGCCACAGGTTGCTCATGTGAGAACAAGGTGAGGCCTAGATTGAATGGGGTCTGAGCAGCCCTCCTATTTCCACACTAATGGGTCCCTGCATCGGAGTCCCTGGGTGATGCAAATGGTCAGGTGCTTAGGTGCTAACTGAAAGGCTGATGATTCAAGTCTACCCCCAGGTGCCCTGGAAGAAAGGCTTGGCAAGGTAGCCATTGAAAACTCTATGGAGCATAGTTCTACTCCTACACACACAAGGTCACCATAAGTCAGAATCAATGGCCACTGGCTCAAGTCCCTGCACAGTGGGAAACACAGAGACCAGTTTAGTGGGGTTGTCTGTGCCATACCTCTGTGAGAATTAGGAAGACTCCTGTTCTTCAAGGAAAATGGTTTTCTAAGTTTGCATATTATTACACGGTCTGAACACCCACCCTCAAAGCCTGCCTGGCTGCACAGACACAGACACCATATTGTCACCCACTCGTGCATGCCCTGGACACAGCCCGGGCACCACCAGCACCGTGCATGCTCCTCAGCTCTCTCCCTGCCCCCCAGGTGAGGTGCATCGGTCAGGTTAGGGGAGCAGAATCAGGCCAGTGAGAGATGCAACCTCAGGGGATACTCATTAGCATGGATATGTGTCTGTGAGTCGAACCATGTCCGCTCTTCTGAGCATGTGCATGCACATGGGTGGACACTCTCTCCTGTGCCAGGACTCCACAATCTGCGTGCCCACCTAGATGTTCTTGTTGGTATCTAAACATGAAGTGAACAGCACTCCTGAATACTTGTCCAGGACCACCTTGCAGGACAGGCTAACCCGAATCCTTACAAAAGTGTCATCAGTCACTCACACAGGAGCTGAGCTGACCTGAAAGATTTTCTCTTATCATCCAAGAAGCAAATAGACCGCAGGAACCTCGGGGTAGGAGAAAAGAAGGGAATTGTTGAACTGATGAAGAAAGCAAGCAGGAGTTTGGGGACAGTTTCCCAGCCTCAACCCTGTGGAAGGAGTCCCTGAGTAGTGTAAATGGTTGACATGCCCGGCTGCTAACCAAAAGGTTGGCGGTTCAAGGCCACCCAGACATGCCTCAGAAGAAAGGCCTGGCGATCTACTTCTAAAAAAGCAGCCATTGAAAAGCCATGGAGCACGGTTCTACTCTGACATACATGAGATTGCCATACGTCAGAGTTCACTCCACGGAACCATATATCCCGTGTTAAATGACAAACGTTCTCTTGGTGCAGCCCAGGAGCTAGCATGGCAGTGCTCCATTTAGCAACTCTCGCTCAGCACCACTTCGGTGCTGTGTGATGGAGAAAGCCACTGCACAAAGGGGAAGTGAAGTTGTGGGGGTGTTGCAGGATCTGAGCATGCTCCTAGCGGGGTTAGATTGGGGAAATTGTCACCTTGCTTCCTCTTCTCTCCTTCTGAGGAAGGCCACCACGCCCTATGACCTGCTCCCAGGGAGGAGCTGCAGACTCTGGGCCATTTCTTCCATCCCCCTCCCCCAGGTGACCCCAGGAGTCAGCCAGAGTAGTTGGGAGTCAGACCTTTTGGCTTTGAGGGCTAAAGCACTTGACTGCTAACCAGAAGGCTGGCGGTTCAAACCCACCAGCCACTCCTCGGAAGGAAGGTTGGGCAATCCTACTTCCGTAGTGATACTGCCTCGGAAACCCAAGGAGGGGTCACTATGAGTCGGGGCCGACTCAACGGCACATAACAACAACAAGTGTAACTGAACGAACATGTTGACAGGAGAAAGAACTGTGTAGATAGCCAGGCCTGGCTTCAATGAAGGTCAGAGAGGGAATCAGCCTCCTGACCTCAATTGTCTTGTCTGTGAAATAGGAATAATGACGCTCTGCTACCCTTCCCAGAGGGGCTACAAAAGTGTTCTATAAATGGTAAATAACTGTCTGAATGAGTGGAAGGCTTATGATAATGTCATCTCTCTGGACCTCAGTTTTCACATCTCCAAAAAGGGGACAATCCCTGCTGCCTCCCAGGAAGCTGGTGAGAAGCCCTGCTTTTAGAACCAGCCTGACTCAAGGACACCTGGGTTTATAAAACAGCTGAAAGGAGGATAGAGGAGTAGGCTATATATGAAGGAAGAAATCCAAACTGCACTGAAGGCTTGGCAAAAAACAAGCTCCAGGAATTGACGGAATATCCACTGAGATGTTCCAACCAATGGTTGCAGAGCTGGAGGTGTTTACTCATTTATGCCGGGAAATTTGGAAGACAGCTACCTGACCTACCAACTGGAAGAAAGCCATATTTGTGCCCATTCCAAAAAAAGGGTGATCTAACAGAATGTGGAAATCATTGAACAATATCAGTAATATTACATGCAAGTAAAATCTTGCTGAAACTAATTCAAAAATGGTTGTAGCAGTAATATTGATAGGAAACTTCCAGAAATGCAAGCTGGATTCAGAAGATGGCAGGGAATAAGGGATATCATCACTGATGTCTGATGGATCTTGGCTGAAGGCAAAGAATACCAGAAAGATGTTTACCTGTGTTTTATTTACTATGCAAAGGCATTCGATTGTGTGGATCTTAACAAATTATGGATAACATTGAGAAGAATGGGAATTCCAGAACATTTGATTGTGCTCATGAGGAACCTGTACGTAGGCCAGGAAGCTGTTGTCAGGAAACTGGACTACATGAAGAAGAACGTGGCATCAGGATTGGAGGAAGACTTATCGGTGACCTGCGATACGCAGATGACAACCTTGCTTGTTGAAAGTGAAGATGACTTGAAGCACTTACTAATGAAGATTAAAGACTACAATCTGCAGTATGGATTACACCTCAACATGAAGAAAACAAAAATCCTCACAGCTGGACCAGTAAGCAACACCATGATGAATGGAAAAAAGATTGAATTTGTCAAAGATTTCATATTACTTGACTCCACAATCAACACCCATGGAAGTAGCAGTCAAGATATCAGACAATGTGTTGTTGTTGTTGTTGTTGTTAGGTGCCGTCGAGTTGTCTCTGACTCATAGCGACCCTACGCACAGCAGAATGAAACACTGCCCGGTCCTGCACCAGCTCCATGATTCTCGCTATACTTGAGCCCACCGTCGATCCTCCACCTTACCAAGCATGACATCCTTCTCCAGGGAATGGTCCCTTCTGACAACATGACCAAAGTAGGTGAGACGAAGTCTGGCCATTCTCGCCTCCAAGGAACATTCTGGCTGCACTTCCTCCAGGACAGACCTGTTAGTTCTTTTCACAGTCCACAGTATATTCTTGGCCAACACTACAGCACAAAAACATCAATTCTTCTTCGGTCTTCCTTATTCTTTGTCCAGTTCTCACATTCATATGAGGCGATTGAAAATACCAGAGCTTGTGTCAGGGGCACCTTAGTCCTCAAGGAGACATCTTTGCTCTTCAGCACTTGAAAGAGGTCCTTTGACGCCAGTTTGCCCAGTGCTATACATCGTCTCAAACCCACCAGCCACTCCTAGGAAGGAAGATGGGGCAATCTACTTCCATAGTGATACTGCCTCAAAAACCCAAGGAGGGGTTGCTATGAGTCGGGTCTGACTCGACAGCACATAACAACAACAACATACGTCGTCTGATGTCCTGACTGCTGCTTCCATTGGCATCGATTGTAGAACCAAGCAATGTGAACTCTTTGACAATTTCAATCTTTTCTCCATTTATCGTGATGCTGCTTATAGGTCAAGTTGTGAGGATTTTTGTTTTCTTTATATTGAGATGTAATCCATACTGCAGAATGTATTCTTCAATCTTCATCAGTAAGTGCTTCAAGTCATCTTCACTTTCAGTGAGCAAAGTTGTGTCGTCAGCGTATCGCAGGTTGTTAAATTATTCTTCCTCCAATCCTGATGCCAATTCTTCTTCATATAGTCTAGTTTCTCAGATTATTTGCTCAGCATACATATTGAATAAGTTTGGTGAAAAGATACAATCCTGATGCACCCCCTTCTTGATTTTAAACCATTCAGTGTTCCTTTTTTCTGTTTGAACAACAGCCTCCTGGTCTATGTACAGGTTCCTCAAGATTACAATCAAGTG